GCGACTTTCAGTTCCAGATTCTTAAAAAGTCCATTAGTTGCTTCTAAATGGATTTAAAGATCTCACTCACCTTTAGTTAAAAACACTCATTTAGAAATAAAACAGATCACTAGGTTTTAAAGACAGTAGACCGGATTTAAAGATAGGAAACTAATCCATTCGTCAGTCGACGTTTTCAAAAAGTGATTTGTTGTGCAAGTAACTTGATTTAAAGATTCGATTGATTTTCCCCCAACCACAGCTCAAAGCCTTTAGGCTCAATAGGTTTTAAAGACAGTCCAATTTAAAGAAAAAAAAATTGACGACTTTCAGTTCGAAGTTCTTAAAAACTAAATTAATAGCTTCTAAACGCAGTTAAAGATGTCACTCACTTTTGCCTAAAAACACTCATTTAGAAGTGTTTCAGATCGCCAGGTTTTAAAGACAGTTTACTGGATTTAAAGATAGGAGCCTGGATTTGCCAGTCGATGCTGTCAGAAAGTGATAAATCTCCAAAAAATCTCACTGATTGTCCCCCAAATACCGTCATCTCAAAGTCATCAGGAACGGCAGATTTTAAAGACAGGAGAATTTTCAGAACAAAATTTCCACTCTCTATTCAAGGTGCTTAAACAAATTAACAAGTTGTTTCTAAATGTATTAAAAAATCTCTCACTTTAGCCTTAAAATACTCAATTAGAAGTAATTCAGATCGCAAGGTTTTAAAGACAGAAGACTGGATTTAAAGATAGGAAACTGACCGATTTGCAAGGCAACATTGTTAAAACGTGAGTTTTTGTCGAGTATCTGGATTTAAAGATCTCACTAACTTTCCTCCAAACACAGTTGATTCAAAGTCCTGAAGCGCGACAGGTTTTAAAGAAAGTTGAATTAAGAATGAAGAAAAGTTGACGGTTCTCAATTCAAGATTGATGAAAAGTAAATTAGTTGCTTCAAATCTAATTTAAAAATCGCACTCACTTTTGCCTAAATACACAAAATAGTAACTCAGATTGCTATGTTTTAAAGACGGTTTACAGGATTTAAAGATCAAAATCCTAGTTATTGCCAAGGCAGCTCCTGCTTCAACACGCCAGGGTTTAAAGACACCGAATTTGATGACTCGTAACTGAATTTAAAGATTCCACTCACTTTCGCCTAAACACTCTCACCTCAAATCCAATAGGAATGTCAGAGTTTTAAAGACAATTCACCGGATTTAAAGATATCAACCTTTGCAATTTGCAATTAAACGCCGCTAAAATGTAATTTGGTGCCTCGCAGCTGAATGGCACTTTCGCCTAAAGATTTTCACCTCACAACCATTAGAGACGCCAGATTTTAAAGACAGTTTACCGGATTTAAAGATATAAAACTTTGCAGTTCAGCGTCGCGACAAAGGAACTTAATAACTCTTAACTGAATTCAAAGATCTCGCGTACTCTCGCCTGGGATTCATTAGGAACTGCAGGATTTAAAGACAATTTACTGGATTTAAAGATAGAAAACATGGCGCTTTTCACTTGAGAATTTCTTTAAAGTAATTGAGTAAATCCTAACTGGATTTAAAGACAGTTGACTAGAGAATTTCAATTTTAGTTCAATTTGCGCAAAAATAGCCGGAAATCAGCTAGATTTAAATACACTTTGTCTCAAATCCTGCGCGGCTTAAATGTTGATACAACCGGCACTTTGTGTTTAAATGCAAATTAAGACTGCTTGTTGCGGGTATCAAAAGCTAATAGATTTCCAGGATTCATGAATTTAAGGATATCAATACTTTGCCCGCTCGCTAACACTTTGAACTTTGTAGACTTAAAGATAAACCGGTCAGTGCGTGTAAAGATTTTGCGGTAGAACCGAGTTGGAAAGCAAGAGCGCGCTCTTTGGCTGGTTGCAAACGGGGTTAAAGACACACACAGATAAGTGAAAAAAGAGTTTAAATCTTACCGAATGCAGCTTAAAGTACAATCCGCAGGCATTGCAAACAGGCTCCCCTTGATTGTTTCGCCTCCACAGTGTGGTGTTGGTCGTTTTGCAGTTGGCGCACGTCACCCCGTTTCTTCGGTTGCTGGTCTGAAAACACCATCAGGTTCACGTCCGCGATTAAATCTGTCCAATTTTCGCTTTCATGTTAGTAAAATTCTTGCAATTAGTGTGGTGCCCTTATCGCCCTTGATCATAGATAAAGATGACTGGATGTGCTGTTGTGAATGATCATGTTCGAATAAAACCTATGAGCTTCTGATGGTTTAAGTCCCCAGTGATGGCAGGCATTCGTTATATTAAAAAAAATATTTTGAAAGTGTCAATTGAACGAGCGATGACTTGCAGAGAAGCCAAACACCGAATTTCCGTTATCAGCTTGCTCAAATACGACCCATTTACCTTAGTTACACAAGCACATGTGTATCATCGACCGTGTGTTATCACATTTCCATTGGTTCTACTTTGAAGTGCCACCCTGTCAATATTGATCTAGTGCGGGCAATAAATTCGATTCGAACGGAACAGAGCTCGAAATGAAAGAGGCCAGAACTAATTCACAATAGAATTCACCTGGACGCCACTGGGCTTCACACTTTCAACGAGAACAGCCAAAATTCCTTCGACGTACACAACCATATAAAAGTGTATTTACTTGTGGAGAACACATTAGCAAACAGCCATGTGCTTCAAGAATTTATTGCCCAAATTAGGCGTAGCCTGAAATTGTGTGCAACGTTTCACAGCGGAAACAAAGAGCCTTCTTCAGAAGATCAGCTTTTGCCAAAAACTTGAAGCTTGTAGACACGCAATCGAGAGGCTTCCTAGTTCGATTTAAAGACTCAACTTAAACCTTCAAACGGAAACCACTCGCTGTTGATTTAAAGATATTTGGTTTGACTGACACGCACTTGATCAGTTCTAGAATTTGAAAAAAATTGCAGATTTAAAGGGATGAGACCTAAGAAGATTGGTGGCTTGACTTGAGAACAAATTTCACATTTAAAGCCTCGCTATTGATTTAAAGACAAAAACGCACTTAATGAGTTCGCTGATTTTATGTTATTAGTTGTTTAAACAAGACCTAAGAGTGTTTGCTGGCTTGATTTAAAGACACACGAGTAGCTATTGATAATATCAATTATCTTTAATTTAACCGAAAACTTGAAAAGTTAAAACATTTCTGAGATATAAGAGAGCAAGGTCTGAAAAAGTTTGATGGCCTGGTTTGTATTTCTCTTTAAACTTCAAAAAACGCGCTATTGATTTAAAGATAGAGACCCTCTTGATGAGTTCAAGAAATTTCTACTAACTTTCGAAAGGTTTGAAGAAACAGTAACACAATCCAGAAAAGTAGTAAAGCTGGCGCTACTGATTTAAAGATGTTTGAGTTGACAAAAACGTGGTGAGTGAAAATATTTGAAAAGTTTGGTAAATTTCAAGTTTGATATAAAGACACTACTTAAATTTCAAAAGTCTTGCAGTTGATTTAAAGACACACTTGATGAGTTCAAGGATTTTCTACTAACTTTTGAAAGGTTTGAAGAAACAAAACCCATTGGTTTGGTGGATTGATTTAAAGATACTCAATACGTTTCAAGTCTCGCTAGTGATTTAAAGATAATTGGTTTGGCCAAAAACGCACTTCATGACTTAAAAAAATGTAAACCATTTCAGATATATAAAGGAACAAAGTTTAACAGAATTCTCTAAGTCTTTGCCTTGATTTAAAGACACTCTTTACGTTTCAAAACTTTTGCTATTGATTTAAAGACAGGGACACACTTGATGAATACAAGGATCTTCTGCTATCATTTGAAAGATTTGCGGAATAATTAAAAAGAAGTTTAAAGACAATTGGGTTTCTAAAGTCTAGCTATTGATTTAAAGATAGAGGCGCTGGACGAGTTCAAGGATTTTATCTTATCCGTTCGGTGACTTGATTTTAAGATACTTTTTTAAAATATAAATATAGATGCGCATTTTATTGGTCCAAGAATTTGAAAACACCTGAGAGATTTGAAGAAACAGTAACACAATCCAGAAAATGTAAAGCTGGCGCTTCTGATTTAAAGATGTTTGAGTTCACAAAAACGTGGTGCGTGAAAAGATTTTAAAACTTTGGTAAATTTCAAGTTTGATATAAAGATACCAGTTAAATTTCAAAAGTCTTGCTGTTGATTTAAAGACGAAGACGCACTTGATGAGTTGAAGAATTTTCTACTAACGTTTGAAAGGTTTGAAGAAACAAAACTCAAGAGTATTTGGTGGCTTGATTTAAAGACACTCTTTACGTTTCAAAAGTTTTGCTATTGATTTAAAGACAGCGACACACTTGATGAATACAAGGATTTTCAGTTATCATTTGAAAGATTTGAGGAAGAATTTAAAAGAAGTTTAAAGACACTCGTTGGGTTTCTAACGTCTTGCTATAGATTTAAAGACAGAGGCGCTGGATGAGTTCAAGGATTTTATCTTATTCGTTCGGTGACTTGATTTTAAGATACTTTCTTAAAATAGAAAGACAGACGCGCATTTTATTGGTCCAAGAATTTGAAAACACCTGAGAGATTTGAAGAAACAGTAACACAATCCAGAAAATGTAAACCGAGCATTACTGATTTAAAGATGTTTGAGTTGACAAAAACGTGATGAGTGAAGATTTGAAAATTTTGGTAAATTTCAAGTTTGATATAAAGACACAACTTAAATTTCACAAGTCTTGCAGTTGATTTAAAGACAAAGACGCACTTGATGAGTTCAAGGATTTTCTACTAACTTTTGAAAGGTTTGAAGAAACAAAACTCAAGAGCGTTTGGTGGCTTGATTTAAAGACACTTATTACGTTTCAAGTCTCGCTATTGATTTAAAGATAATTGATTTGGTCAAAAACGCACTTCATCAGTTAAAAAATTAAAAACCATTTCAGATATATAAAGGAAGAAAATTTAAGAGAATACTCTTAGTCTTGGCCTTGCTTTAAAGACACTCTTTACGTTTCAAAAGTTTTGCTATTGATTTAAAGACAGAGACACACTTGATGGATACAAGGATTTTCTGTTATCATTTGAAAGATTTGAGGAATAATTTAAAAGAAGTTTAAAGACACTCGTTGGGTTTCTAAAGTCTCGCTATTGACTTAAAGACAGAGGCTCTGATATAAAGACACTACTTAAATTTCAAAAGTCTTGCTATTGATTTAAAGACAAAGACCCTCTTGATGAGTTCAAGAATTTTCTACTAACTTTTGAAAGGTTTAAAGAAACAAAACTCACGTTGTTGTGTTGTGTGTGCTGTGAAACACTCAAGGGTGTTTGGTGGCTTGATTTAAAGACACTCATTACGTTTCAAGTCTCGCTATTGATTTAAAGATAATTGATTTGGTTGACAACTCACTTTATGACATTAAAAAATTGAAAACCATTTCAGATATATAAAGGAACAAAGTTTAAGAGAATTCTCTAAGTCTTAGCCTTGGTTTAAAGACACTCTTTACGTTTCAAAAGTTTTGCTATTGATTTAAAGACAGGACACACTTGATGAATACAAGGATTTTCTGCTATCATTTGAAAGATTTGAGGAAGAATTTAAAAGAAGTTTAAAGACACTCGTTGGGTTTCAAAAGTCTCGCTATTGATTTAAAGATACTTGATGTGACCCAAAACGCACTTGATGAGTTGAAAAGATTCAAACCCTTTCAGAGACATGAAGGAACAAGGTCGAAAAAAGTTGGGCGGTTTGATTTAAAGACACTCTTTATATTTCAAAGGTATCACTTTTGATTGAAAGACACAAACACACTTGAGGATTTCAACGACTTTCTGCTATCATTTGAAAGATGTGGTGAAGCAAAGGAGAGGTGGCTTGGTTTAAAGACGCCCGTTAAAAGATATAGTCTGAGACCCAATTGATGGGTTAAAGAAAGGAAAACATGAGGGAGGTGAAGAAACATGTTTAATGGCTCGATTAAAATACACTCTTCAAATTTGAAAGAAACTGTTATTGATTGAAGCAATTGAGTGAAAGTGGCTGCCAGCAGGTCGTGGGGAAAAGTGTCGCCAAAGAGAAACACGACAAGGGGGCGTGAAGAAGTGAACCTAACATAACTTAAGCTAGAACCCCAACACGAACATCAACCCCATGGAGACAGGAAGACTTACCGCCTGCGGTTTTTTGCTCGGCCGAATGGGCGGTCGATTCACACCATTAATTTTGTTATAGAGACCGCACGCGTTGCACAGGTAGTGCCCGGTACCGTCTCTGCGCCAAAGGGGTGTGACACTCGCGCCGCAATTAACGCACTCTTTGACTAGTACCTCTGAGGATGGCCGCTGCGCGCCCGAAACGGGGCCGCCATCTTCCAGGGCCTCCCCCGTCCAAGTGTTGTTCATGAAGTACTGTTGGGTGCTGCTGTCCGCCTGATGGACGCTCACATTGCCGCCCGGATAGCCCTGGTAGGGGATGGCGTTCGGGGGCGGCCACGACTCCGCCCCACTGGTCGTAGGGGGCACAGTGCTGATTTGAAAGGACGACCCTGGTTGGGAGGCGGTCAGCGTGATCTGATTCAGCTGCTGCTCGTAGTTGTTTGCGTAGCGGATGTCCTGGCGGAAGGAGCCGCTAGCGGTCAATTGGGGCGGCCAGGGGGCGGCGCGTGCATCACTTACCTGGTACCGGGTCGAGGCCAGCGTGGGGTCGTTGTTGCGCACCAGCACGTTGTTGTTGCTGATGTTGATCGGGGGGCTCTCCCCATTGTTGCGATCGATCTGGAACTGCATGGTGCTGTACTGGTGCTGCTGCAGGTACTGAGTGCCATCGGGCGGGTACTGGCCATTGTTCGGGTACTGGGCAGTTTCCAGGTTGGCGTAATCGGCCGATGGGTCAATGGCGCTGTTGTCGATCGTTACGGGAACTGAAGGACCATCGCGGATCTCCAGCGTGAAGACGGGCGATTGCTGGGCGTCGCCCTGCGAGAACTGGAAGGCTTCATTGACGCCCTCAGTGGTGACCGTGAAGTGTTTGGCGTCGATAAAGTGCTCAGAACCGCCCGCCGCCTCCTGGCTGATCACCTCGTAGGACACCACCTCCTGCTGCACGCAACCCTTTTCCGTCGCCGGACTCAGCTCGGAGGTGTTCACGATCTCTTCGGTTTGCACCTCCAGCTGGTCGTCCGTCGTTTCGATCTTTCCGGCCGTCGTCAGGACGTGGCGCTTAATCACCGACGGTGGCGTCTGCTGGCCGGCGTCTTGCGCCAGAAGGGCCGGCTCTGGTGGCTCTATTTTCACTTCCTCTTCAGCTGCAAGGGGCGCAGCGGGTTCAGGCTTGATGGCACTGGGCGAGTTCTCCAGTTCCTCACTGGCCTCCATGGTCTGCAAGAAGATGACTTTAGCTTTAGCCAAATTTCCTGGAGGCTGTTCCTCAAATTTTGCGATTAGTTCTAGTGGAGAGGTTTGGAATTTTTCGCAAACTGAAGATGAGACTGACTGTTATTGAGCCGCTCTATGGAAAAGGTCCTGATTATTGTTGGGGTAGTTTTAATAGTTTGCGAAATATTCACATTCATTCATAAAATGCCCCTCTATCTTATTCCGCAATATAAACAGTTTTCCATGTAATTTTGCTTCTGTCTCTTAAGAGGTTACGAATTTTTGGTAAACTGGAACAGGAAAAGACACTTCCTGATTAGCTTTATTGAAAAAGCGTTAAAGATTTTTTGGATGTTTTCAAAGATATTCAAGATATTAATGAAAAAGTATAAAAAGTCAGAAAACGTCAGTGGTGAGGTGTGGGTACTTTCAAACACCGAAAATGAGGGTATGCACTATCGGACTCTTAATTTTTTTATGGCTATTCTAGAGCTCACTAAACACTCTTTCGAACAGGTTCTAACCGTTATTGAGTTGGTATCAATCGTTTCCGAGATATTCACATTCATATATCAAGTTTTGCTCCATTTTCTTATATTTTTGCTTTCGTCATTTTAGAGGTTCGGACTTTGTGATAGACTGGACCTGCAAAAGACAGCACTCAAGTTTTTCTATTGGAAAAGTTCTATTCATTTTTTGAATAATTTCAATCATTTCGAGATATTACTGAAAAAGTATAAGAAGTCATCAATTGTCAGTAGTGAGGTTTTTAAACTTTCAAACACCTAAAATGGTGCGAAATCCCCCTGGAATCTTACGTTTCGTCAAACTACTGTATCGGCTATTAAATGGTCTTTCGAAAAGGTTCTAATGATTATTTAGGTGCTGTCAATCGTTTCAGGGATATTCACATTCATTCGTGAAGTTTTGCTCTATTCTATTCCGAAATATAAGCGATTTTCCATGTATTTTTAGTTCTGCCGCTTAAGAGGTTAAGAATTGTTGGTAAACTCTAAATGGAGAAAAAGCGCGTTGAGTTGCTCTTGTGAAAAGGTCCTAATGATTTTTAATGTAGCTTTAATCGTTTCCGATATATTAATGAAAAAGTGCAAGTCATCAAACGTCAATAGTGAGATTTTGAAACTTTCAACCACTTAAAATTGGCGAACCCCTACCGATAYCTTCAATTTTTTCTAAMTRTKATATCRAACATTAAATGCTCTTTGAAAAAGGTGCTACTGGTTATTTAGCTGCTGGCAATCGTTTCAGAGATATTCACATTCATGCACCAAGTGCCGCTCTATTTTATTCTCAAATGTAAGCGGTGTTTAATGTATTTTTGCTTCTACCTATTTAGAGGTTACGAATTTTTGAGGAAATTTTAGTTGGGAAAAAGCTGGTTGAGATGCTCTTGAAAATGCCCTAACGAGTTTTTATGTAGCTTTTATCATTTTCGATATATTAATGTAAAAGTGCAAGAAGTCATCAAATGTCAGTAGTGAGTTTTTTCAACTTTCAACCACTTAAAATACGTGAATACTGCAATCGTCAATTTTTTCTAACTTTTATACCAAGCATTAAACTCTCTTTTAAAAAGGTTCTACTGATTATTTAGCTGCTGGCAATCGTCTCAGAGATATTCACATTCATGCACCAAATGCCGCTCTATTCTGTTCTCAAATATAAGCGGTTTTGAATACATTTTTGCTTCTGCCTCTGAAGACGTTAGGATTTTTTGGTAAATTTGAGTTGTGAAAAAATCTTATTGAGTTGCTCTTTTCAAAAGGTCAAAACATGTTTAGGTTGTTCCAATATTTTCCGAGATATTAATGAWAAARTGCARAAACTCCTCAAATRTCAGTGGTSASGTTTGGAAACTTTCAAACCCTTAAAATGAAACAAAGCCCTACTGAAATCTAAAATTTTCTTAAACTGTTTTATAGACCACRAAATGCYCTTRCAAAAGTGTGTTGATGATTATTTAGGTGCTGTCAATCGTTTCCGAGATATTCACATTCATGCACAAAATGCCGATCTATTTTATTCATAAAAAGTATAACTCAGAAAAGGTCACTGGTGAGGTGTGGGTACTTTCAAACACCGAAAATGAGGGGAAGCAGTATCGGACTTTTAATTTTTTTATGGCTATTCTAGAGCTCACTAAACACTCTTTCGAAAAGGTTCTAACCGTTATTGAGTTGGTATCAATCATTTCCGAGATATTCACATTCATATATCAAGTTTTGCTCCATTTTCTTCCGAAATATAAGCGGTTTTTCATATATTTTTGCTTTCGTCTCTTTAGAGGTTAGGAATTTGTGACAGACTGGACCTGCAAAAGACAGCCCTCAAGTTTTTCTATTGGAAAAGTTCTAATCATTTTTTGGATTATTTCAATCATTTTCGAGATATTAATGAAAAGTATAAAAAGTCATCAAATGTCAGTAGTGAGGTTTTGAAACTTTCAAACACCTAAAAGGGGGCGAAATCCTACTGCAATCTTACGTTTCGTCACACGATTGTATCGACGATTAAATCTTCTTTTGAAAAGGTTCTAATGATTATTTAGGTGCTGTCAATGGTTTCAGGGATATTCACATTCATTTGTGAAGTTTTGCTTTATTCTATTCCGAAATATAAGCGATTTTCCATGTATTTTTAGTTCTGCCTCTTAAGAGCTTAGGAATTGTTGGTAAACTCTAATTGGAAAAAAAGCGGGTTGAGTTGCTCTTGCGAAAAGGTCCTAATTATTTTTTATCTAGCTTTAATCGTTTCCGATATATTAATGAAAAAGTGCAAGAAGTCATCAAACGTCAATAGTGAGGTTTTGAAACTTTCAACCACTTAAAATTGGCGAACCCCTACCGATATCTTCAATTTTTTCTAACTATTATATCAAACATTAAATTCTCTTTTGAAGAGGTTCTACTGATTATTTAGCTGCTGACAATCGTTTCGGAGATATTCACATCCATGCACCAAATGCCGCTCTATTTTATTATCAAATATAAGCGGTTTTCAATGTATTGTTGCTTCTACCTATTTAGAGCTTAGGAATTGCTGGAAAACTCTAATTGGAGGAAAAGCGCCTTGAGTTGCTCTTGTGAAAAAGTCGTAATTTTTTTTATGTAGCTTTAACCGTTTCCGATATATTAATGTAAAAGTGCAAGAAGTCATCAAACGTCAATAGTGAGGTTTTGAAACTTTCAACCACTTAAAATTGGCGAACTCCTACCGAAATCTTCAATTTTTTCTAACTGTTATATCAAACATTAAATTCTCTTTCAAAAAGGTTCTGCTGATTATTTAGCTGCTGGCAATCGTCTCAGAGATATTGACATTCATGCACCAAATGCCGCTCTGTTCTGTTCTCAAATATAAGCGGTTTTGAATACATTTTTGCTTGTGCCTCTTAAGACGTTAGGATTTTTTGGTAAATTTGAGTTGTGAAAAAATCTTCTTGAGTTGCTCTTTTGAAAAGGTCAAAACATGTTTAGGTTGTTCCAATATTTTCCGAGATATTAATGAAAAAGTGCAAAAACTCCTCAAATATCAGTGGTGAGGTTTGGAAACTTTCCAACCCTTAAAATGCCTTTGCAAAAGTGTGTTGATGATTATTTAGGTATAAGAATTTAGGTATAAGAAGTCAGAAAGTGGAAAATTTTAGCTGCAAAAAAGGCTCTTGAGTTGCTTTTTTGGAAAGGTCCTAACGAGTTTTTGGGCAGTTCCAATCGTTCCCGAGACATTCACATTCATTCATCAGATGCCGCTCTACAGGGTGATTCAAAATTGGCGTCATTCCTCTGGAGGTGTTGTCTGGCGCTGTTATAGGAGTACAGAAAAAATAGTAAAAT